ATTTTCTGACGCTGCACGAATTCCCTGACACACTGGGGACACATCAAAATGTGCATTTTGCATGATAGGTCCCCTTTAAATTAGGGATGCACCGAATATTCGGCCACCGAAAATTATCGGCCGAAAATGGTTAAAAAGGCCCTTATATCACCGAATGTCAGAGAACAGGGTTACGTTGATCATACTCCGCATATTTGTCCGGGTGTTTTGATTTCAAGTGGTGGAGTAATCCCGAAGTGGTGAAAGTCTTTGCAGTTACACCCCCTCGAGAAATGTCAGCTGAACACGTTTTACAAATCGCAATCCGCGCCTCTTTCTCTGATATTTTGAAATATCTCCAAGCGGCAGACATGTTGGCTGTGAGCCAGCCCATGGTCGCGCGCCGTGCTTGTCGCCGCGTTTTGATTACGTCATCACAACAACACTTTAGGTTACCAAACTTATAGGTGCATTTGTTGTTGTTGAAGGCCTGGCTGTTACAGTCTTTATTTACACTATTTTGTTGTAGGCCTACTGGCCTAGATGTTTATGCAGTTTTAAAGCACCTTGGCTTTGTTCTGAATGCACTTTGTTGTAGTTATCCTACAGAGAAAAGAAAATGCAGTTGACTTGGAATTAATGTACTGTATGAATTCAAAAGTGCTGAATAAATGTTTTATGGACCCATAATAGTGATTATTATTTAAGTTAATTTTTGCCATAATCATGTCTTCTTCCATAATCAGGTAGCTGAACAAAATTGGTAAAAAATGTATACATTAAATATATATATATATATTTCTATTAATCATTTTCGGCCTTTCGGCATTCGGCCAACTGTTTCCTATTTTCGGTATCGGTTTCGGCCAAGAATTTCCCATTCGGTGCACCCCTAACAATAATAGTCAGTGCACACCGGGTGAAATTATCAAATGCTGATTAAGGCATGCAAAACTAAAGCTTTATAAACAGTACAGACCATACAAAGATAACTAAGTATATTGGAGTACAAGCACAATGAAAGAACACGTAGCTCTACATTTAAAATCAGAAAAAGGGAAAGAGTATATATATATAGGCTGACAAGCAGGTGTAATTCATGAGGATATTTGATTAATATTTGATTAATTTTCTGTCAATGCTTGGATTCTAAAGACATCGAATTGTAATGTAATGTAATGCTTTATGCTTATGTTGATTTCTGATTATGTTGTTTTTGGTTTATTTGATCTCGATATAACAAGGGGGAGGAAAGATTTCATAATGTATTGTTCTGATCATTATGCTTCTTCATTCATGCACTGCTGCTGAGTCTGCGTTACCCTGATGAATGCTATCTATGTTTGTTTGATGTGGCACACTGCAAAACCAATTGCACTTCGGGGACAAAGAAACTGGGAACACAGACATGTCATCGGTAGACATCACGATACCTTGTACTCGAGCTTCCAGTCTTTGCTGCTCTTGCTGTGGTTTTTGTAAACTTCCACTCTGTACTGCCTCACCAGCAGCAAGTCTCTCACAAAGGCCTCGAAGTTCATCTTGCTCAGGCAGACACTTTCCAACTTGCGACTCCCTGTAGACAAACACGCCCATATTAGTTTTAATTTGTTATGCAAAGCTCTTTAGCTAATGTGGCAGAAGGTGTGGCTAATACATGCATTTATAAGTTAGCTAGCTTAGCTTGCATCACAACTGTTAGCTTGCAGCCGCCAGTCTGCCGGCTCCAGCTACTTGGTTAGCTAGCTAGTGGAGGTTACCTGAGCCCAAATATTTGATGACCCCATTCGTCTTGAAAACTTCCTTAGCCGCGAATAATGCATCTTTTCCGTGGACGGTGTAGAAGTCATTACGGTCAAATATTCTGAAAGTTGTGTCCGGTTTCTCCGGCATGGAGAAAATAAAGCTTAAAAAGCCACTTTCGGCTGCACTGTCCATAGACAGGTTGTGTTTCGGTTGCACCGCCATGTTGGAATCTCCCGCCACCACTGTGGCCAAACCGGAAGCTACGTTCTTCTTCTTCTTTATACGGTTTTATGGTGGGTGGCAACCAGCGTTATAGGTGCATTACCGCTACCTACTGTATTGGAGTGTGGACCAAAATGATCTACCAACCCCCAAAAAAGAATAAAGACAGAAAAGAAAAATGTTTAGTTGTCTTTATTTATTGAGTTTGTCTTAAATACTATAAAAGTCTCCCTGACCCAATGTCTAATATATCTTTGAGTGTTGGTTGTTCCACTCCAAGCTTCCCGATTTCTGTCTTCAGAGTTTGTCTTTCTTGTCTGTATTTGTCACAAAACAGAAAAACATATTTTCTACTGTTTTTTTGACCTTGCAGTTTTAACTACGTTCTTCTTCTTCTTTGCGGTTGTTTGTGGATTGCAAAGCAACGTAAACTATGCATACAGCCTGCTACTGTATCGCAGTGTGTTGATTCATGCATTGATTGTTTGCATACAGCCTGCTACTGTATCGCAGTGTGTTGATTCATGCATTGATTGTTTGAATAAGTCATATTAGCATTTTAACTTTTTATAAGCATATTTTGTCTTGAATATTTCTCATTAAAAAAGTATGGATTTTGAAATGTACAATATCATCATTTTGGCATCACAGCTTTTTAAAGCGAAATGACTATATTATATGGTGTATTATTAATCGTTTACATATGTAGGCCTATGTTAGTTTTACAACTGACATGGAAAAAATTATAAGAATGTTTGAAGTTCTTAAAGGACTTTGAGTGCAGTCAAAAAATATAGATGATTTGTCAGCTGTGGGGACAATAAGTGTTTTGTTCTTTTAAATAAAAAGGGAAAAACATGAAGGTTAATTTCATGCCAGCATGTGAGAGTAACGTGACACATCTGCTCCCTTTTCGAGGATCAGTGAAAACCCATGCAGCCTTTAAGTTTCCAAGAAACTGCATGAATAATATCATCAGCAACCATTCAATACTAACGTCTTGTGTTTGTTTGTAGAACAACAGTGATACTGTGTTAAATACAGGAACTGCATAATTGTTAGAACGCCTGTTGACGCGGCAGTGAATGGCCATGACTGCTGAAGACCTGCCATACGTGAATATTACTTGTGATCATGTTGTTCTGAACATTAGGTAGGCTTATTGTGAACCTTGGCACTATGACCACCATGAATATTGACCAAAGTCCTTAGGCCGAGACACTATCAAGCAGAATACGCAGTTTGGAGTACTCTCACGTTTCAACAACTTCCTCTTTCATGGCGAGTGTCTCAAAATGGCGGCGACTTGTGTTTCTTAAGAAGGTCTAGACCCAATGTGAAGTCGATCAGATTTAATCTGTAGGATATATTTGTTAAAGTACAGAGTCATTAAATGCCAATTATACACAAATAAATCAAACTAAATTCAAAATAGCTGAATTAATTTGTTCAATGTGTGATACTTGTGCTGTGCAAATATCGTAAATCTAGGGTGAAACGTACATCCACTGCTGCTTCGTTAAAGTTTTCACATAGAATATATTTAAGCAATAGCTCACGACAGGCCGTGGTATATGCTCATTATATCACAGCTAAGGGGGGTGGTTCGGCCCGACGCGAAGCTTAGCTGTGATATAATGAGAATATACCACGGCCTGTCGTGAGCTATTGCTTAATTATATCCCACTGGTGAATTTATAAAAGCCGGTTGCTTTTGGTGTTTTAATGAGACTATTAAACGTCATCATTCCGAGCATTAGACGCCTTTAGTTTAGCGGTGGTGACTGGCTGCAATGTTTTTTTGCGAATACCTTCTATTTTACTGAAGCTTTGGCCCAAGGTGTTTTTAGTTTATGACAGAAACAGTTGTCCCATATTTAAAAAAAATCAACAACTTTAACGTTTTATAATGTATTAGGAGGAAGTATTCAATATTGTATTGAAGCTATAATTATAATAGTGGCGCTAAGGTACAAGTAGTGCTTATACATTTAAATGTTAGGTCATGTCATCATCACATTAGCTGTGGAATAGATTTATTCCCAAATACACTTTCTTTTTAGAGTGGGAATATTTCACAAATACTTCAAACTCAAATTTACAAATCTATTTACAGTGAGGTTTTTGTAATATAAGACATTGCTTTTCAACTTATTTGAAAAACATAGATGACTTCCTCCAAACACTGAGAAGAAATCCAAATCTAATAATCTAAAATAATATTAGATATTATTAAAAAATATAATTATTATTAAATATTCAATGTCTGGAACAAGCTGACTAATTTAGTAAAAAAGTACACTTTTTGTGAGCATTTAGAAGTGAAGGACTAAATTAGATGTTTGTCCAAACCTGACAGCATGACCAAAATATTCGCTGTAACTCTAAAAACATGAATGAATCCTATTTGACTAAGAACAATTTCTGATTAGGTGACCTATTTTGGAATGAAACAATTCAATTGATGAACTGTAAACCTCCATAGTAAGTACACACGACAGGCAGGAGGATGCCAGCTCTGAGCCATCATGGACATTAAGGAGCTCAGGGTGTCATGAGCTCAGCAGCACAATTGTTCGTTTTGACTGTGAGAACCGATTCTCCCCTGTTAATAGCAGCAGCACGCTATCATTGGCAATTTTTTTCAGATGTAATGAGCCACTGTTTCATCCTCCTCCATTCTGCCTTTTCTTACAATAACTTTTTAACCACCCTATATTGTCCATTTATCACTCGTTCTAGAGCTTTGTTCTGGGCTGAAATATCCATTGGATACCCTTATACAGTATCTTCATGGTCGCAGAGGATACATCTTAATGACCTTAGTGATCCCCTGACTTTTTATGGGGAGCATATCTATGTACTGAAGGTCCTATGTCCCTCTGCTGACTATCCTCTTAATATGACGCATTAATGACACATTTCAAATAGTCTTATGTTCTCAGTGAATCTTTTCCCGAAGGTCAATAATATCGGTTTATAATAGGCTACATGGGGGGGATTTCCTCACATTTTTCAGGAAGACATTTTTGAGACATTAGACATTCATATCTCAACAGAGGTTTAATTGACTTTTACCATTCAAACTGCATTTGACACATCCAACTCCCTTAACTCTCTTGTGTTTGAACTGGGAAGATAGCCCTAACCAATCTCTTACAATAAGGGTCCTGGGAACATGGGTATATCCATATTTCATCCATGTCATGTTAAGGAAAAGAGGTCATTTGTATCCCTTGCAGGGCTTTCCATATTATCCCAAAATGTTTAAACACACATAACTCCTTTAAATTAAATGTTTTAAATGGCAATGGAAATGCCATCCTGATATTCATCACAATGTGGAATAACACTTAGCACACCTTGTTTCATGTTACTTGAAGGTCTCACAATGACATTTGACATGATAGTTCAACTGATGAACCTATCAGCAAAACTGAATAAGCCTCATGAATGAGCAGCAACATTTCTTCAACTATAGTGTGTTTGATAGCGTAAAATGTATTGCGCAGCAAAAAAAATTGTTTCGAGAATGTGCAATCTGCACAGACACCACAGACCTCCTGTCAACTTGTTCATAGGGTCCTCATAGATGAACAGTAGTCATGTGTGCTTTGATAAAGCATCAGTGTGTATTCTATTGAATGAAGATAATGTTTTGAACATTCAAAATTCAATTTTTTTATTATCCATTCACTGTTGAGTTAATTTATGAATCAAAAGACTCTTCTGGCTTTTCCAAAATAATGATTGCCTTCCTTTTTTTTACCTGGAACATCTTTGGGTTTTGAACCATTGGTCTAACAAAACAAGACATTTGTGACCTAAGGTTCTGAGAAATTGTGATTGATTGACGATATAAACGTAAAAAATCTTGATTGATAATGGAAAGTTAGCTACACATTATAAGACCATACAAATATTGAATCTCTATCATCATGCAAATAGCATGCACATCAGTAGGCTACTTACTGTAAGAATAAGTAGTAGTAGTAGTAGTAGTAGTAGTAGTAGTAGTAGTAGTACCATAAGAATATAGTCTTTTTTTAAATGTTCAGACAATACTGATCAATGATTTGTTTTTATTCATGTCTAATATACCTGGATTTTGCTTTTTATTTATTGATTGTATATCATTTCATATACGGAGTATTGCACACACAGCTGTAAACTAAGCTTTTTCTAGGTTAAATTGAAAATAAACAAAATTAGCAAAACTGTAAATAAATAATGCCTGAGCTCCACGTGAAGTCATGAGCGTGCAGTCAGAAAGAGGTCTGTCTGATTTCCAGTAAAGAAAGATAATGAGAGCAAATGATGATTTGTCAAGTGATGAACACAAGTCAGCTACATGCCCTATGGGTTTCAAGAGGGGGGGGGTCTCTGTGATGACATTCAACCTGCTGACGAAACTAATGTTATGACGTAGGCGGCACCTTGACGAACGATGCACACGAGGCACCCGGTTTGGGCTTTATAAACACGGTGAGCACCGGGAACAGGACTATCTCTCCAGACCTGCACGGTATCTCAACTCCAGGACTATCTCTCCAGACCTGCACGGTATCTCAACTCCAGGACTCTTCTCAGCTCTCTGTTTCCAGAGTTAAACACACCAAATAAACAACTCCAACATGAACGGCCACTGCAACGTAAAGGTCAACGACACCGTGGAGGAGTTCCACTGCAACAACAGCGATCTGCTCATCGACAGCAAGAAGTCCGTCGTGCACCACAAGCACGAGACGTCCCGCAAAAAGGACGAGGACCAGTCCCGCTTACCTGCGCTCGAGGCCGCGTACACGAGCATCCTCCGGGAGCTGGGGGAGGACACGGACCGGCAGGGGCTGCTGCGCACGCCGCTGCGCGCCGCCAAGGCCATGCAGTTCCTCACCAAGGGCTACCACGAGACCATCGAAGGTGAGTCAACAGGTCCTTCTGTGGGGGGGGGGCTCTTCTCTTGAGGATGCAGGGTGGTTTAATAACACAGTCACCAATGTAGTATGATCTTGTTTTTTATCTTACTAATGATAAAAGTGCACTGCAAATACAACACCCTGCAAACTGAAATGAAGTTTTGTGGATTCCACCTGGAAAAAGCTGTAGTTTGTGATGGGAACATTTTCATTTGATTGCATTCAATTGTAGGCTAAACAGAGTAATAGTTGTGCTCCTTAGTATATAAACACCTTATTTGATTTAGGGTTTAGGAGTTTTCTCTACAGCAGAAGATCCAAAAGTCTAGTAATTCAAGTATATGATAATGCAGTATAGGCTTTTGAATAAAATTGGACTACTGGTGGGAAAAACAAGATTTTCTAAAATGTTCTAAGCAATATTTAAGTCGATATTCTTTAAAACCTGTGTGTTTGTGTCCCCAGACATCTTAAACAACGCCATATTTGACGAAGACCATGATGAGATGGTGATTGTGAAGAACATAGACGTTTTTTCACTGTGCGAACATCACCTGGTGCCATTTTTTGGAAAGGTAAGACAAAGCATGTGGAGTGTTAGTGGGTTAACAGCAAATATTGGATCATCATTAAATTGGGTTTCTAAGCCATGTAAGGTCATTTGAATTGCTAATATTTGCCATCCTTTGATCTGATTATGTAATCACTGGCTGTCATCTCTCTCTAGGTTCACATCGGGTACATTCCCAACAAAAAAGTGGTGGGACTGAGCAAGCTGGCAAGGTAACACACACACACACACACACACACACACACACTGTATGTTTCTGGTGTTACTGCAGGCTGGCTGCGTTCTTCTGTTATTTCAGCACATTGACCTGGAGGATTAAGTCTAAGCCCAGTGGCNTTTATTATGCTGATAAAAAATCAATATATTATAATAATATATATAAAAAAACCCCCCAAAAGTCAACTTTAATATGAATTTCAAGTCCAATTAGTTGACAAATTTTTTTTATGACGAGTGTAAAAAACAGAGGTTATTTACCTCTACAAAAGTTTCAGTCACTTATTAGTGTAAATTATTAAGCGTAATGGTTAATAACTGGGTTTATTAGCTCTAATACTAAAAACGGTATTAGCTCGTCGGGATACGCGGGAATGATGTATATTTAGCTGTTAGAATCGTTGTTTCGTCGCTTTCTCCGCCTACAATAGGGACGCCCTCAACACCACCTGGTTTTGTCTGCGATTACCTTACTTAGAACCTACCTATAACCAGGTCCTTGGTATGAATGACACACGACGGACTAAACGATTGTTCAAATGTCCTGTTGATTATGGTGACTAGAACTACAGTTACTACCATAAAGTGGTGCACGGCGGGGAAGAGGACTAGAACGAAAATAAAAGACAGATAGTAAATAATTAAGAATAAAACTAACGAAAAGAATACGACGAAGGAAAAAACGGTGAGGTCCTTAGACACGTTTACACACACCTTTCTTTCAAAACCTGTGGTTTTTTGATAGCTGTCGTGTAGACAATGTCGCACGGCTTGTCATTGCATGCTGCACTTATTGTCTACACTCCTACTGTGCCTTCACATACAAAAACTCAGTTCGAAGGTGTACAGCACGAGTTGTATGCCGGTATTGAGAAAAATACAATAAAAAAGGGTGGAAAACACTCTTCTTTCTCTAAACCTCGATCGAAACGGAGAATAATGTTTTATAAGTATATTACGGTTGACCTTGGATAACGTCACCGGCATGTCGTCCCCCGTGGAAACACATAGGGTTTATTTGGTGGCCAGTAGTGGACAATGACCGAATATCCTAAAGAAACATATAGAATTTGAAGTCCGCATATATATATAAAAGAACTTTTTGTATCCCAACCAAAGAACATACACTACATTAGTACACACCGGTAAACACTACACTTAATTTCTAGTAAAGTTGTTTTCGTAATCGTTGCAAGCCATAATCGTAATCGCGATTAAAATACGATTAATTGAGCAACCCTAATGGGTATGTAGTGTACAAGCTGTTAAGAATGAAGTCAACATTTTTACATTAAACAAACAAACCCCCCAGCTGTTTGAAAGGCACACACTACCTGTACCTGCCTAATCCCAAATACCCTGTTAGGTTGCAATTTGTGAACGTGTGTAGTGTTTTGGGAACCATCTGGTAACCTCTCTTTCAAGAAACAGTGTCCAAGTTATTCTAAATGATCCACATACTTCTTTGTCAATCATGTATCTTGGAACTATTTCACACATAAAAAATAGTACCTGATCACAGGTGAGGTGTACAATCTACATTGCTTGATACATAAAGAGCTAAATATCAATCGTTATTCTCAAGAAAGAACCACTAGCCTTTTTCAGACAATGCATGTTATCTATTGAACATCTGTCAAGTGAGTGAGTTTATTTTACCTTTCTTGTACGCACAGCCCTGACAGTAGTGTGATCCATGCTGATGAACTGAGCTTCTGCAGATCCTGCAGGTAGCAAAACCCGTCTTGCTGTACGGGTCAAACCTAAGAGGGAGATGCATAACAGATACATAACTAGAGATGCACCAATATGTGATTGAGCCTAGATAGTGGCACTGGTTCAAGGCACAAATTAAATGTGTTCAATAAAACTGACATTGTGTGGCTTATTGTAGATTTTAACATCAAAGTTTGATGGACTTTTTGGAAACTACTCACCTGGCTTTCTTGGAAGTAAGGATCTTGTTTTCATTGAGCTTTCGCCCACCACCCTCTAAGTGAAAGAAGCAGAAGGACCCACATTTACATCTACATCTAAATAACGCTAAATAGAACTTAAAATCACAACTTCTAAATAACTTAAGTAAAACGAATAATAAAATATATATACATTAAAAAAAGAAGAAAAGAAAATGTTAATAACGTTGATCGGAATGAAAAAAAAAGTTCAAGTTTGTTTCTATAATAAAGTAGTTATTATCATAAGAGATCTGAGAGCAAACATTTATAAAATATAACATTTAGTTCAAATTAAAAACAAATCAAAGAAGGCACTACATGTATATACTATGGAAAGTCATAAAGCCAGCAAGATACAGCCTTAAAATACACTAGTAAGATGTAGTGGCTCTTTCTTGAAGGCTTTATTTTTAAATAAACGCCTTCATACTAAAGTAGTATTTAAAAATGCCCGCCTTGAATAAATGGTTCTACAACATTTAAAGCCTGTTTTTTGTTGTTATGAAGGAATATGTAGCTCAATATGTCACTCAGTTAAGACACAAACAATAGTTCCCAAGAATCTTTGTCCTCAACTTACCTGTTGTATTCCGTGCTCCGTCCTTCCAGGTGTCAGGTGTGATCACTTTACCGAGCTTCGTCTCGCCTGTAGTATTAAGAAAAAAACAATGTAAAGAAATAACTCTCAAGTGTAAGGGACAGTTAATCAATATAACGACGAAGAAATGCATCATAACAGTTAGCTAGCAGTCACATAGCATTAGCTCTAGAAGAACCTCAAGCCTTCGCTTACGGCAAATATACAAGTTATTTGAGATTAAAAGCATCCGATATGGGTGATACGTACACTTGTCACAAACCATGTTTCCTTTATGTATGTTTCAAGCAGATACTTATCGTCAAAGGTTGGGGAAAACCGAATAAAAGTGTTAGCTCAGGTTTTGTTTGGCAAAAACATGTAAACTTCCGGTCGTTTCTACGTCTTTCCGTATATTCAACATATTGATTGGTCAACGCTGTGCCCATCTCACATATCATTAGCTGATACTCCCGTCCGTCACAGAGGGTCGCTGCCCCCTTTCCGATTGTTAAGGTGGTGGTTTTCTTCAAAATAAGAGTCCACTAAAATAGGAAATTGCCCTTGAACGAATAACATCCATTGATTGATGCTAATGTATTGGATATTATCTCAAATGTAAAACCTAGAGAAGACTGTGCAACAATCTCCCATATATTCTACAGCCAATGTGTTCACCTGTAGATATATTTGACATATTATTATATAGCTAACAAACACTTGATTTCATTAGGAAATATACTTTTAATTGGCCCTTAGGAAAATCTGACTATTTTTCATCTGCTCTTTAATTTTACTTACGCAAAACATCAGATGCATATTGACACAGCAAATGATCCACACGAAACAGAGATTTTGTTCAAAAAATAAATTGAGTAATATTCATGGGAAAATATCATATACATGATACAGAAATATGGTCAGCTTTCTAATATTAGATTTTTAATTTATTTCAGAGATCATCCAGAATCATTAAGACGATCTCTGAAACTCTCAGTATGCATTTCTCAAGTCTTATTAAGTCTAAATTACTTAATGACAAAACTAAATGAAAAAAGGTAGAGCATAGGAGAGGGCAATATAATACTTTAACAATAATGCGGTATATCCAATACATTTAAATGCTGCATTCTAACCATATTTAAATAAAACAGTATTCTCTTTTGCATTATTTCTTTCAGTTGTTATCTTTTTTTTGCGCTAGATACTGTTGGACTTTTATTTTGAAGTTGGAGCGGAAGTAGCTCCATGTTTACGGAAGACAGGTCAAATAATTCACCCATGGATTTAACCTACTCAGTAAACCCGTTGCTAAATTGACATTTTAAAGTATTTTTTATTTGAATGTTGTCTCTTGTCTAGGTCTCTTGTCGTAGGTAGTTACATTTGTCGTCATGTGGGACCATGAAATTAGAGCCATGGCGTCCACGCACGCTATCCTCGCCGCCTCGGTGTTCATGGCCACCGTGCTACCTGCGGCGGCGGTGCCGGGCTTCTCGGTGTACGGGACTCACCTGCTGTGGCTCTACTCGGTGTCCGGAGCCGTGACCGCTGTCAGTGTGGCCGTCTTCTGGCTGCTGGGCATCACACCGCCCGCCAAGAAGCACACCGTGGGATACAAGGTGCTCACTTACTGTAATGGTGACTGTTGAGTTTAAGAAGGGGTGGAAGAAGTATTGAGAATATTAATTTATGTAAAAGTAGCAATACTACAGTCAGAGGTGGGAAGTAACTAAGTACATGTACTCAAGTGCTGTAGTTGAATAACATGTTGATATACTTGTACTTTACCTGAGTATTTTTCCATTTTATGCTACTTTGTTACCTATTCCCCACTTCAATTCAGAGGTAAAAAGTGTACTTTTACTCCACTACATTTATTTAATACCTTTAGTTACTTTACACATTTGGATTAATAATGTGAAATACAAACAACACTTAAAAAGCACTTTAGTTACACCTGGAGTAAACCTTGCAGTATACAAAGTGATTACAACTAGCTGCACTTTTACCATCTGTGATAACACTTTAATAGATCAATAATTATAATCAAAACACATGATATATTATTCTGAAATGGACCAATTTGCATAATAAGCACTTTTACTTTGGGAACTTTAAGTATATTTTGATGCTAATACTCTTGTACTTTTACTTGAGTAACATTGTATATACAGGACTTTACTTTCACTTCACTCTGGCACTTCTACTTTTACCCAGGTACAAGATCTGAGTACTTCTTCCACATCTGACTACTGTATAAAAATACTTTGTCTGTGTTTGGAGATGATATTATTTCAAGATAAGTAGGTTGTTATTACGTTTGTCATTATTTTTGGGATGCTATGCTATTATTTTGATATACATATTCATTATTTCAAGAAGGTTTGGCATTGTTATGACTTGCAGGATCCTTTTTCATCACCAGGCTAAGTTTCCATTTTACTGATGCTAATGGGCTTCTTTAGATATATGATCATATATTGAATACTTGGGTATCAATGGTAATGTTTACTCGTTAAACTTGATGATATTTTCCCCTTAACGCTGTTTATTCATTTATTTCTGCAGCTCTCTCGGTTGTTTCGTTCCTGTCTGTACTTCTTCCTGTCGTGCCTGTTCTTCCACACGGTGGTGGTTCTCTATGGAGCTCCGCTGATTGAGTGAGTACTGCTGATATATCTGTGTGTAAAAAGACAGAGATACGTTTTAAAGACATACAAAGGGCAGCAAAGGAGGACTTGTTGCTGGCTGCTGATTTTAGAGAGCACCATAGCAAGCAGTCCATTAACACCTACTGCCTAATGGTCAAATAAGTGAATAGTATTCCTTGCACATCACAAGATTATTTTCATGACACGCTACAGATTTCTATTTGATCTCTGTAGGCTTTACCCTGTCATCATTCACCCCTATGAAATCCTGTTCTCTTTACTTTGCTGCATCAACACAGGTTGTGTGTGTATCACTTAAACTCTGCTGCCTAGTTGCAGCCGCCACTGATACTGTGAACTTTCTCCTCCGTGTTTCAGATCCGCCCTGGAGACGTTCTCCCTCTCTGTGCTGCTGACCTCTCTCACCACTCTGAGGTGTCTCTGTGTCCTCGGTCCCAACGTCCAGGCCTGGATACGAGTGTTCAGCCGGCATGGGTCAGCCAAACATCTGCTTTTCCCTGATACCTGTCCTTCAATGATGTGTTGATGAATCGTGTTTAATGTGCTAATCTTGTCTCTCTTTACGAATGTTCTAACATAGATTTGCTCTGTCTCCAGGGCTATGTCTGTGTGGGACACCTGTCTACAGATCACAGTGGCCTGCACACTGGTAGGAGCCTGGGTGGGAGCCTTTCCTATTCCTCTGGACTGGGACAGGCCCTGGCAGGTCAGCACATGGGAGAATTACTCTTATAAACAGAATGCATACTGTGGGATTATTATCTTAATATTAGATTCACCAAAATTGTTCACACAATTACAGTAAATCTAGAATTGGAATCAGGTTGAATAACAAATAAGTTTACACAGACAAGGAATTTGCTTTGGTGTATGATGGTGTATACATAAACATAGTTGGAGGAATACGGTTTTAAAAAGGGAAAACATATAGAATTATTATACTTTTTTTTTTTACATGAAACAATTACACAAAATGTTCAAATGAAGTATAAATCTACAAAAAAAAATCCCAGAGTAAGTACAACAAGAATCTGAAATAAATACTCGGAACAATAAAATATGTGCAGTAAAGCAAAATTGGAAGTTGCAGTTTTAAGAAATGTTCAAAATAAACAGGAATGTGTGAGTTATACAGTATTTTGTTTGAGGAATGGCTCCCTTGATATTTCTCAATGTAAGGCAGTGATTTCATTAGCATAATCACTGCCCTGAAATATATGAGCCCATATGAGGCTGCCTGATCTGCTGCGTCTGTGGAAAAGATTTATTGACAAAAAGAGATGTCAGTAAGTAGATAACTAGTGCAACTGTCAAGGCTGTACTGTGGCAGAAATACAGATGGGATTATCTCTTTTTTTAAAGAAACATATATTAAATAAGAGAATAGTATATCCCAGATGTAGGCATTATGATTTCAGTAGGGACCCCTAGAAGCAGTCAGAAGGTAAATCAGAGGGTTCATGAGATAATTAACAGGAGAAGAAAGCAGAACAACAATTTCCTTCATGCTTCTAATTGGATTCAATAGGTACATTCAGACATCACTGTTTAATTAACCTGGCCGTGACCTGTAGACGGATGACATTTGGCAAGTAGACATAGCTTTTAAGAATTCATAACAACGGAATTTACAAAATGATTAAAGCTTGACCCTGATGTTGAATTGCTGCAACTGGTGGATCTTTTTTTAATGGTTTTCTGCCATTTCTCTTTTTTTTTTACAGCATAGGTTTCTCTGTTAACAAGAAAGCCTTCCATTCATCATGATTGGCAGTGAATAGAATCTCGTAGAGCTGAAATATCATTCTGAAACCGATTACCATACCTAACTCAATTTCCTTTTTTAAATAACAAAAAGGAAGACGATTATAACCATAATTGCAAAGGGAGCTCTCTGCAGAATGACTGGAGGAAAATGCAAATGGGAGGCAGACGGTGGTAATTGGAGCATAACTCTGAATGGCACCACTGTACCGCCGGGGTTTCATTTGACTTTAAAAGTTTCTCTTTGAGGCAGACGAGCTTCTGGGGAGAGAGGATGAATTGATCTAATAGTCAAGCTCCTTTTGATCTATCAGTGCAATGATCTGACTCGCCCCTCTTCTCTTAGGCGTGGCCTGTTTCCTGCAGTCTTGGCGCCACCATCGGCTTCCTCACCGGGCTTGTTGCGGCTCCAGCCTGGATCCACTTTCACCGCAAACAGCTCACTTACAAGTGCAAGTGAGGGGTCGACATATGTGTGTGTGTGTGTGTGTGTGAGACACCATGAGGGCATCCCTCGTATTCCTGCTGTATTCCTTTTACCTTGTACTGGTTATTTATTGGGAACATTGTCTCCGTTTGCTGCCTGTTGACGAGATGATTTGCAATAACACAACACGGTATGAGCATCATTGTTTTGTACCCATGAAGGCTGATCATTTTCCTGAAGAGTTTTGACATTAATTTAAGTTTTGGAATAAAAGATAAGGAGTTTATGACTAATAAATGTCCTTTTTATTGGATTGATGCAACTTAAAGTGTGTGTGTGTGTGTGTGTGTGTGTGTGTGTGTGTGTGTGTGTGTGTGTGTGTGTGTGTGTGTGTGACCTTGCCAGCTTGCTCAGTCCCACCACTTTTTTGTTGCGAATGTACCCGATGTGAACCTAGAGAGAGATGACAGCCAGTGAGCGCGCGTGCTTTAAACAACCATTAATCTTGCGCCAACTCTATTTAAACTCGCCCTCCTCCCTCTCCTGCTCTTGCTCTCATTCCAGCTTTTCACATCCTCGGGCCCCCATATTGATTCACTTCCATTTTAGGGACATTAATTTCCCTCCTTTCATGCCGCCCACATCTCTTGCTCTCCCCTCGCAGCACAATGAAACTTACATTTTCTGCAATGCGGTGTCAAATTGTAAAGCAAATGAAGGATGTTGTTTGCAGACAGTGTAGATATGTGTAATACAACTTAAGTCCTTTAGTGCAAGGAGGGGAATAAAAGGACATTTCGGTCGTCATGTTGCAGTGTGAGTTGAATTGGTAGACAGTTTCAGCACAGAGCCCGTTTGCCCCGTGTTTGAACTCTTGCGTAAGGTAGTTGCCAGGGAAAAGAGGTGAAAAATAGCCTGAAGCGAAAAGATACATTTTCAGAAGTCAGAAATGATAGAGAAGTTATAGGAAAGAGTAACCTTTATACCCTTATGATACCATTCACCCTCTTTATTTCCATCCATCTTTCTGATTAAATTCAATTGACCTCATGCTGTTACCTCCATTTCCCTTTTTTCTCTTTTATTTATTTTTATTTTCTACACCTTCTGATACATTATTCTCCCTAGCAGCAAAGGGTGTGATTAACCGATTTCACCTCCAACCTAGTTTTGACCGTGTCACCACACTGGGCATGTCACATCTGGTGGTTTCTGGAGTGTCTCGTTTTTTGCCCCTGATTGTGGTCTTGTACGTAATCGGTGTACTTAGGGGACTGGATGGAGTTGTTTTGTTCAAAAGCTCAATTCAACTCTTACTCCTTTCATCTCAGAGACAAGGAGACGGCTAACACGCACATAAAAGCTACTGCTTCACAAGATAATCTAACCTATTCAATCTCAGAGAGCCCTATGTATTCATTGTTTGTTCTCAGGCTTTGCTTGAGGCTATTTTTCATTCCCTGCACCTCCTATCTCCCCAGCCTTTCCCCCGAGGCAGATGTTGTGGGCATGTTTCTGCAGAGTTGTGTATTCTGAATTAAGATGCAGCCTCTGCTCTCTGTGGCAGATTTTACCCAAATTAAATCCGGCTGAATCAATATGTTTTTAGTCTAGCATAGAATCAAATGAGAGAAATAGATTGCTCAGGCTGCAGGGAACACATAATTAACAACCAGCTCTGCAGCATTTTACCAATAGTCTTGGAACTCGTATTATTGTCGGTTTGAGGGTTGTTTTCAACAAGCAAGTTCTTATTGACACTACACTCCTCACACCAAACAATAGAATAATGAACAATATAAAACAGCTTACAGGCTAGATATGTTTCTTGTTGGAGAAACATGTTGCTCTGTGTGTGTTTTATGTAGAAATAGTCTGACAACACTTTCTGCCCCCTGGTGGCCACAAATACAGTGATGCAGCTTTAAAAATGAGGGGTAAAGTCATTAACCTGATGCTATCTTATTACAATTTAGGTTTGTTGGTACAGTGCAGCCTCACAGATGTCAGATCAAATAAAATAAAATGCCAATTTTCAGACACATAGCTTTCAAAATGCTCCACACTGACGCGAGAAAAAAGGAAAGGGAAGCCAAAGTGCAATATGGCATTGTAAAAAATGCATATAAATAAATACTGAGAGGACGTAGAACACATCCGTCCATATCCATAACCATCTCGTCCTCTTGATGAGGAAACACTCCAGTCCCTGTGTTGTTATACAATATAAAAATATATGATATGAAATATATAGTAGGCTACAAGTTGTTGGCAGAATACAAACTGCAGAATTGTGACGTTCTCAACATAACTGTGAATTTCCCTCCAAAATGCTTGGGTTATGGTGCATGCACTATTATGCCGTGATCTTCCCAACAAGAGTTACTGTTTCTATTTTTATATATTTAAAACAGGATAGACAGGTCCTCTTGATACTGCTGAGGAGAAAGAGAGTAGGCAGATTGCATAAGTCACACCCCTCCTCCACATAACTACCTTCTCCATACACGCTTCCCCTTCCCCCATTTCTCACACCCAACTCGTTCCCTGTGTCTCTCCTTTTCCCCCGTGTCCTGTATTCACCACCCCCACCCCCCCATAGTTCGTGCTTCATTAACAGTCACAGTGTTATTGAGTGGTAAACATGTTATTGCAGAGCTCTCGGGGCCCTCCTGTCAGTTCTCAGAGCCACAACAAAGGGTCCATTGTGACTGAGAGATTCTCAAGTGGGCTCTTGACGCAAAAGGTATAGGTGGAGACAGACGGGTCGAATTATAGAATTCTGACCTTTGGTTCCTTAAGGAAAAGCAAGTATGGGCTATTATCAAACCAACATAATAGGTGCATTTCAAAAAGTGTGCACATAATGGATATGCTTTTCTAAGAACAGTAGGAGGATAGCGAATGAATACAAGTAGATGTGAAAGGAACAACAAAGCCGGGGATCCCTTGTAAATAAAATATATTACAGATAGGTTTTTCTCAAATTGGACTTTTAAGCTTCTCATATGATTTACACTCCGAGTGTCTGGACTCTCCAAGGGTCACAAAAATAAATACATTTAAGTGATAGCATTTTTTAGACACCCGTTATACCCAACTATCTGATGGATTGCCATAACATTTTATTCAGACATTTGTATTTCCCATAGGATTGATTCTACTGACACCGGTGATTCCTAGTACAATAGGACATTTGTGGTTTTCGGTGAAATTTCCCATCAACTTTTGGATTGATTGCTTTAATATGACTTTATTACACACATTAATATTGCCCGTAGTGTGAATTGTGAACATTCTGATGGTATACTTTTAACCTTTAATCACAGAAATCTTGTTAACCCTAGATACCTGCACCTCTTCAGGCGTCTTACAATTGTATTCAACTTCACTCATTGCAAATTTAGTACAGAGCATCATTTTGTACGAAACATTAACCATTACTTGCTCACTCTCCTCCATCCTCGCTTTGTAGGATAGAGTGTTTTAGAGCAAGTCACTTTTCTGTAATGAATTATTAACAGTACTCATTATTTCCCTGCAGAAGGTCAAATTATTCTTTGTTAAATCAGAGCTGCCATCAATTATCCATTATAAGGTTTTCCTCACAGTGTGACATATCGATGCCATGACAACGTGGAGTCATGCTGACAAATGACTGCGCCATATCATAATTAACAAAATTCCTACAAGGCAAAACTTGTACTCTGGCATAGATTTATATACATTACAGGTTTTGAAGCCCTTAAAAAGAAAGTACATGTACATGATTGTGCTACCTGCATGTGTTCTATACTTTATGATTGCAAAAGTGCTGCATCTCTCCAGGAGGTCTGTACCAATCAGTTATATCTGGCGAGGCCACTTCGGAGGTCGTCATGTGACCCTGCCCCATGAGCGAGCAATCAATATACACATAGGAACACACACATACAGTATCAAGTAGTTCCAAACCAACTGACCACAGCATTATATCTATAGTGATAAGGCTTTACGTCGAATACATCAAACTTTGTGCCAGAAAAATCTCACCCGATACTGGCTTGAGTTTCAAAATCAGGATACATGTATTTATTATCCTTGCAAGAATGCAAGTAGTCATCAGACACGAGATATGGTACGACTATGTTCCCTGATAGAATAATATATAATAATAAAGGTCCATCTTCTTCTTCTGATCAGTGTCCTTCACTTGCTTATATACTAGAGAGGGCATTTCACAATCACAAGATGGAGAAATACTGGTTCAAAGCGGTATTCTAGGTTTTTTTAGCACCTTGAAATATAAAAGATTTCAGATATCCTCAACCGGATGCATCTGAAATCTAAAATGATATCACATTTTGTGACTCAAAAGTTGAAATCTTTAGAAATGGGATCAAATTGAATCCTAAAAGCAGTGTGGTAAAAGAAAGTAAGGCCAACCATTTAAAGATATGTTTGAGCTTGACCTTTTTAAAAGAAATGACAAAAGCATTTGGAATACAAGTTGCTTGCAGTATTACTACACTTGGGCAAAACTCCTGTATACACGTATGTCAAGGGGTAAATATCTGTTCAAATATTTCAGATTTGACATACATTTCAAAGAAATAAACTATAGGGAAAACATTATCTATGTGTAATGCAATGATAAAAGTCATATTTTTGAAAGAAGTAGTATAGAACATATTTTGCATATTTATTTAATTACAAAAATAAATGAAATAGATCATTTTATTGTCATTATTATATTATAGTATTATTATAGGTTAAAAAGAATAACCCGACCCAGAGAAAAATATATATACTTCTGCATACTGATTGTGTTAACTTTCAGTGTTTTAAGAACATTTTGAATGTAATAATTTTGTACTTTTTTATTTTTTATTTGATTTCACTCCAAATCCAATTTTTCTCCGGATGTTCTCGGAGTTCTGGATGAGTCGTCAATAATATTTTTAAGTTTAATAGATGGTTTGATGTTATTTAACACATATACAAAGAGAGGATGAATAACACATTGACACAGGATTATAAATTGGAAAAAATATATTTAATTTCACTGAATGTCTGAAGTAACCTGTGTCTTGTGGTAACATTCTATCGAAAGGCCCAGTTCTTCTGCGAGAAGTGTGGACTATAGCCCGGTTAACTGACGTTTTGCCTGGAAATAATGACAAATAAAGTTGCTACAAAATGAACATACGTGAACAATGCAGAGCTATGGCATCAGTGTTTAAGCAGCTTAATGCGTGGCTGTCAGTCTGAAACAGCCTCCCTCTGACATCACTCCAGAGCCCACACACGTAAATACTGCATGCATCGAGCCAATAGAGCTGCAGCCATGTTACAGACGGGGTGACTCCATCATGCTTGCTCTCTCTTGCACAAAGATGCTTATCAATGCTCAACCACACGCCTATTTAAAGATGCGAGACTAGAAACATCTTTGTTTATCTTTTGCCATTTGTAAGAAGCTCTTATAGATGTCCGTGCATCTTGCTGTCTATTGGCAACACGTCTGATACAGTGAGTGCTGTTTCAGTGACAGACAAATAGGAGAAAAGAAGCATGTTTTACATTTGATTCCCTTTAAAATTTATTAATTTAGACATTTGTTTTTACAAAGAAAATGGACATTATTACTGTTTAAATTGAGGGGTGATGTTTTAATTACAGTCCCAAGAGGTTTTATGGCGAGGCAGATGGACACTGGGAATGTTGGGTGTTAGAGGTGATGTAGAAAGGTCCGGGGGTTTTGTGTTGATCACTTATTGTTGGGCTGGGCTGCGAAGTAAAGAGCCACCAGGCAGTAGAGGGTCCCTCCGATGGTGAGGGCCATGGTGGTGCGGTACAGTAGCCTGTCAGGGACGCCCCGCTTCAAATGAATGGGGACACCGTCCGATATCTGGGAGAGGGAAAAAAGGAAGGAAATGTGAGAAAAACCAATAATGAAGGTGTTACAGAGAGTACAGAGTGTTCTCAACTATTTGTCTGGGGAGATAGGTCTTGACATTTTCTAATGATTTCCGAACACATATTTCCCAAAACTATTCATCCGTCTCAGTCATAACAGACCAAAAACACCCAGAGTGCTTTCTTGTCCCTGAAAAAGGAAAGGAACAAACACAGTAAAAAAAGGTTTTGTCCAAAGGGCTATTTGCTTTGTATACAATAGTTTCCAAACATATTTCCTGTTATTATCTGTCTGAAAAACCTTCACTTTCAATAAGAAAAAGTCCTTTCAGCAGACATTACTCTGATTTTCCATTTATTTCCATTTGTTTTAGTCTGCCCCACTTTCAAAGTATTCCGCTCACTGCCTACTGTGATGAAAAGGCAGGGGGCCATTACAAACAGAGTGAAATAATTACCACCCAGCGCCTAGAGCTAAAATATCTCCCGTGCTTTGACTAAAGTTTCACCACTTTGGCAGTTCTTGAACTTTAATTCTGAGGAATACTTTGAATGAACAAATGCTGATTCACCGTGAGAACCGTACCAGCGTCAGGGAGGAACCCATCAACCTCTCGTCGTGACTAAGACTCTTTCAGTTTCCTGTTCTTATTTACCTGGAATAGTTTCTGCAGGTCAGGAACCCGGTTTGGTGTGATGTACTCCACCACGGTCCCAGCCTCCGACACCAGTTTGGTGGGGGAGGCGAAGATCATGGGTGGGGCTTCTGCTGGCACACCTGGCCTCAGCCCCTAAACAACAACAACAACAGATTGGTCACAATAATGCACAATTCTACTCAACCTTATTCAATGAAAGCACCCTTTTCCCAATTGTTTCTAAGCAGAAATATTATTTTTATTCGCGGCAGACATCGGAAATAAGGAAGATATTCCGGGAAAGGGTTACTTAAAATGAATTAAAAAACATTAAGGGTGTAAATTACAAATTACAAAACAGCATATCTATTTGTTGGACAATGATACAATGTTTCTGATTTTTCATATTGTTTTGATTTAAATGGAGGGGCATATCGACAACTTAAGATGATAAAGATAAGAATTATAAAATACAATTGGGATCTTTAAAATGATCATATGCATCAGTGTTTTTACTTTAACTTTTCCTTAGACTTTTGCATCGTTGGTCATTGAATCCATATAAATCGCTCCAGATCAATGCATTTTTTAAATAAATATGTATTAAAACATATTTTTTAGAGGTGTAATCATTTTCTGTTTTACCGATTTGATTAATAACAGAAAAGAGCTTTGAAAGTAAAATCAAAACAACTCTTTTCAGATCTTTGGTACAACAAAGCTTAGTGTCTAAGTAGAGATTTTTTTTAAATAATTTTTTTAAATTTTGTATTCAATGTTACAAAACAAAAATGACCATGTTCAAGTCTTAAAGTCATCCTGAGGCCTTAGTTTTGGTTTCAAATTACACAACATCATGTATGTGTTGCTTCTTTGGGGCTTGTTTTCATAGACCTGGTTGCTTATTTCTCTCAAATCTGGCAGTGGTCAGGGCGCAGTGTCTAAATGTAGCAGTAAGCTAACGAGTACTGATAAGCTTTATTTTGTTTTGATCCAATGCTGCACAACTGAACTGATCCAATGCTGCTGTGAAAGAAAGAAGCTATATCCATGTTGGATAGAATATCCAATTTAAATAAAAAAATAACCTTAAGGGACAACTTGAATGCTTTTTTTCTTTTTTTTCTCTTAAATGCATTGCATAAAGATTGGATCGGGAAAAATCGGTATCGGCAAATTGTCAAAATCAAATGATCGGAATCGGATCGGGAGCAAAAAAAGGTGATCGGGACATCCCTAAACACAATATTTGACTAGCAGCACGTTTTATCAGCTTTTTTGCAGACTTACTTTACGAAAAAACAAATAAAGATCCATGTGATAATTGGTCTCCCATAACTCTTTAAAATGATAGCGCAGTGTGATTGACTTTGGGAAATGATCAATTATATCATGAATTCCTGCTGTTCCACTTTTCAGAGGCGCACTGTGGTGTTAATGAATTACAAGTGTGCCTCCCTATTATCCTCTCACTTGGAGGAAGCTGCTCACCCACCTTGTGTATCAGAATTACTGGGAGAGCCATTGCCTGGTCCGGGTGTGTGGAGGCAGATAGTGTGGGAGCAGGTGAATTAAATCTGACATATGAAAATGCAGAGGCACTAAAAGCTGATTATTTTTACACACCATTTAAGAGAAGGCATAACTAAAAGTGTTCACAGCAGGGAATCGTGTTTTTGCCTTTTGTTTTTTAATAACCAGTCAGGATTTAGCCGTTATGGTAGTCATTGGCAGTTATTGGCAGCATTGTTCATTGGTTAGCAATGTTTTAAATGCATAATGTTGAAAGGCAGGCCTGCAGGTCTAAAATGTTTGTGTGTTTAATACATTTAAGAATAACACACATTTATAGAATGTTGTTCTAGGATTTTACCCAAGAGCAGATGTTGTCCCAGAAGTAACTTAGGGCTAGGGTGTAGTAGGGATGGTTTTACAGATAGCCTATTTCATTTCGGATCCTCAAATCAATTTAGCTTGGAGGCCAATAAATCCCTTCCTGAATCTTTAAAGCCCCGGCCACACGAGGACGATAAAGGTCGTATCTGCTACAGTTCACTATCAGATAGACGGTTCGGCCACACGAGGCCGACATGGAAACACAGATAACGATAACGGGTCCCAAGGTGGGTAGATCTGCAAACGAAACGCTTTGGGGGGGCAAACGGCTCCGTGTTTACGCCTATGAGATCATTTCCTGATAACGTTGAAGCAAAAGCCCCGCCTCTCCTGCTCAGAGATCAGCTGCTGGGCTGTCAGAAGAGGGGGAGGAAAAGAGAGGCTCCGTGTTTTATTATTATTATATTATTATTATTATATAGAGTCGTTATTCATTTGTTTTAAAGCTCAATAAATAACAAAGAAGACTTTTGACCGGCACTTTTCTAATTTTTTCCGGAGGATTTAAACCGGACATATTGACCGGCAAAAAAAAATCGAACTGAAACTCTGCCGCACGGTCCCCTCGTCCCTTGGAAGAGGCGGAGAGGTGGGTGTTCTTCATCTGCTGGTGGAGTACCGGAGAGAATTACAGCAGAAGCAAACGCTTGCCTCGGGGAGGGAGAAAAAGAGCCAGAGCGTCCACAGCGGAGAATAAACAGAAGGGCAACCATGGCAACCATGCGCGGGAATTCTTCTTCGCTGCTTTTGTGGCAGGAGTACAGCAGCACTTACAGGCCCGGCATATGTACTACAGCGTCTCCAGCGCTTTGGAGCGGTCTCGTGTGAACGGACACGTTTCTGGTGCCTATTGCGTGTGGACGGAAGACTTTTTTAATATCGATTTCGGTNGTCCACACACAGGCATGAAAAAAATCTTGAAAAATCTTGATGCTGGGCGTGTCTGAAGCTTGGCGATTTTTTGCGAGCAACGCGACAACAATCACATGAATCTCCCGCCCCCGACATACAAAGCAATAGCAATGTTAAAACGAAGTAAATTGGATATAAACTCCCCAAACAGGCGAAAACCTACCAGTTTCACCCAGTTTCACCCACCTCCCTCCATGCCTGGTTCCTCCGGTTTGTATCCCGGTAAATAGTTCTGGTCGTAAAGAACCGGGTGATTTGCTACCGTAATTTCTCGTTTGGAATATGAGGAAATGAACTGCGGTCTGGCTCTCCCAGCTTGCACGCGGTTTGATTGGCTAGCGCTTGTACTGGCGGGATTTGCATAAACGGGATTTGATTGGCTGATGCCAGCTTCGAAAGCATCGGGAGAATCAAAAGTTGAACATTGCTCAACTTTTGATGCTCACGATGCTTGCAAAGCCATGCTCCGCTCCCCACAATGCAGTTCGGCGAAGATTAAAAATCTTCTACGTCACCCCATTCAAGTGAATGGGCGATGCTTTGAAAGATTTTTTTCATACCTGTGTGTGGACTGGCCGTTACAGGCCTGGCATATGTACGACAGCGTCTCCAGCGCTTTCGAGAGGTCTCGTGTGAACGGACACATTTCTGGTGCCTGTTGCGTGTGGACGGAAGACTTTTTTGATAACGATTGCAGTCCGTTTGCGTTATCGTCCTCGTGTGGCTCCAGCCTTAGACACAGGCTCTGTTAGGTAGTTGTATTGCCTCTTTGTGACACATAAGGCATCCGAATATAAATAAACTGGTGTCACATATAAACACATGCTAATGAACTACCATCCTTTGGCACCAACAAAGGCATTATAGCCTGTTGTGAATAAGGAAAAAACTCATTCTTGGGTTGAAAAAGTCCAGTCCCTTGACGTCTCACCTTGATGTTATCTAAATTAATTTCTATGAATACCTAAGACTGTTCTCTTAACAGACATGCCACTTTGTGCTAATCCCAATACGTGTTTTGCATGCAGAATAAATGTGTTATTTCCACCTATTCTAAACATTGTGTATTTGACTATTTCTGCATGCTTCGGTCCCAAAACATTCTGGATTTGCCTAAATGGATTATGACTGGTAAACTGAGAGTCTTGTAGGTCAAATGAGCCCAAGGGAATTAATGTGTTTTGATGCTAGTCTCCATAGCAGCGATTTGATTGTAATGAGACCTCTTTATTTTCATTTAACCTGGCTGTATACACTTCGCTGTTGTGGGATCTAGGATAATCAACAGTAGACTCAAAGACAGGGGTCATTCAGAGGATGTATGGGTACTTTAATATTACCAATTTATAAACTGTAAAATCATAGAACAACATGGAGGCTGTAGTGAAAACAACAGAGGTCTATACATTTCCTCCACCAAGCGCACCAGTCACCTTCTAATCAACCTGAGCTCATACATCAAATATATTGTACCAAGGTCGTCCAAGAATTAAACCTGACATCAACCATCTCTGTAATAGATGTAACAGTTTGGCCTGCTCTCCGGTGTCCCCATGACCCTAAACAAACCCTGTACCATCATCAAACTATATCAACCCCCACACACCCCTCCCTTTCTAGCTGTGTATGTTTTCCAGTCACTAATTCAGAGTTCAGGTTAGTGGGAGGGGGTGAGAGGATTGTTATTTGTCAAACCTTTGTCAACAATTTATTATCTCCTGTCTTCTCAGTTCCATGAATACAAAAAAAACTGATGGAAATAAAAAAAACAGGGATTATTAATAAAGGTCACATCTGGCTGACGCTCTGAGAGGCCATTGGTTTTAGAAATTGGCTGTAAAGTCAGATGATAACCACATCGGCATAACCTTTCCAAAAATAAAAGGTTAAGTAAAGGTTCCATGCTTAGAAAACAAATAACATTTAAAAAAAAATTACACTGACTATTTAAGGCTTGTCTCGAAGTCTAGAAAAGTTAGATTAGCTTTTAAGGCGATTACTTTATGAGACATATTATAGCTTATTATATGTAGGCTACAAGTGAAGATACCAGGACGAAACTGGTTAAAAATAATATTCTTCAGCAGATAAAGCACGAAAAGGAAACCACACACGTTTAGGAATTAAAACACATATAGTAAATTGAGCTAACTGCACTGGAGACCTCTAAATATCTATACGTGTTGTGAAACCCCAGGCAGCTAACGTTACGGACATATTGCTCAACGCGGTGATATGAAGGTCATCCGCGAGGGCACCGAGCCACCGCCTCGCTCGCTCACCTGAGGGCTGTAGGCGGCCGTGGGCGCAGAACCCGTCAGTTTCTGGGTGAATCCGCTGAACTTGTAGTACATTTTCCTTCTGAAGGACGGGCAAGATGTTATCCACAACAAAAACCAACCGGTAAAGGGTCTTCCAGTTGCGACCGTCGAGGGAAGATGACGTCTGAAGTCAGCTGGTCCGACACTGCCTGATTAAAATTCAAATGGACTCCAAAAGCTACAGAAATTCCTTTTACATTTTTAAATGGTGTTTATCTGTCCAATGAATTATATTTTTGTATTCAACAACATATGAGCAATATATATGTTGTATACAGCAACGTTTACATCAGGGGTAGACATATATAAAGTAGTACAAAATGATATAAGTAAATAAATACAAAAAAATACAGATTCATATTTCAGATTGAATATTTGCTAAATACACAATTAGTTTTGATTTCCTTTTTATTTATAATAGTTTTAATAGTGGTGCTACATTGCTTTAGTTCTTGGTAAAAATGTTCACATTTTTGTTTGGAGTCAGCACATCTCTTTTTATGTATATGAAATTCCCTTTGAAGTACAGGAAAATGCCTCTATTCTGTCCGTCCAATGAATTGGTACGACAGCGATTTGGTATAGAAACTAACAATTTAGTATTTAGCGATTGTCCTGAAACAACTGTTCATCTTTTGTTTTGATTGTTTGTATCCTGAGGCTTTATGGCTGAATGTACATGATTGGCTTTTCCCAAAAATGTAGGATTCACCACATTTTCCACAAAACTACATCATTTATGGACGTACTTTAGACAACATAAAACTTTTTGGTCAATAAAATTGTTTTTCTATTCAAATGTTAAATTCATATATCCAAATATATAACAGGAAACCCCACATTTTGATATTCTGTACAAACTGTGAAGACCACTGAGACAAATGTAAGATTTGTGATATTGGGCTATATAAATAAACATTGATTGATTGAAAATATATGTAAAAAATATATATTTTTC